GGGACTGAGTCCAGGAATTCTAACAGAATTCCTCAACCTTATACAACCACCATCTCCCACTCCTTCCTCAGACCCAGTCACCATCTAAACCAGGAACACCAAAGCCACCAGGGACCATCCGTGTCATTTGTTGTTCCCTCTGCCTATCCCTGGCCAGCAAACGGGTGGGGTCTGACAGTGCATGTCAAGTTATCATAGAGAGATATTTATCTGAGGAGTTGACACAGTAGCTCACAGAAAGGGGAACCCCAGATAGATTATCAGAGAGAGAAATTTATCTGAGGAGGTGACACATCAACTCACAGAAAAGGGAAACCCCACAGAATTTACAGCTTGCTAACCTTGGATTTGCGTCTTTGAGTTTCAGTAAAACAGAGGAAATGCTTATTGGTGAGTCAATTTTGGAATTTGGGATTCCGTGCTAGGCAGACCCACTTTTAGATTAGAAACTAGATGAAAATTCTGATAGGAAAGTACATAGATCCTATGCTCTTCCAGAAACTACCTTGTTAGTAACGCTCCCTTGTTTCGAACATCTGACCTATTAAGAAAACCTTGGAATTTTTCACAAAGAGTTTTTACAAGTTATTTGGTACTGTTCCAAAATTTTAAGGAAAATGCTAAAGAAATGTCAAGATTGATATTAAACACAGTTTTGGCCTTCGTCATGGATCAAATTGTGTCCCCCAATATACGTAGATAGGTAATGATTCCTAGTATTGTATATTGTCCTCTATTTATGATATGTTGCAAATCCTAACCTCTGGTGTTAGGAAGAAGATTAGTTTATGTCCAGGAGGAATAGGCTGTGCGTTAAGTTAATGAGGCAGGATTAGGGTGGGATGCATCACCTTTACAGGATCACAGCCCTGTAGGGATGTAAGGGGAGCTTTCTTGGGGCATGGCCTACATCACCTCTTATCTTACAAGAGATAAAGAGAGAAGTGAGCAAAGAGGGAGGAACCTTGTTGTTATTGTTATGTGCTATAGAGTCGGTTCTGACTCATAGCGACCCTGTACAGGGTTTCCGAGGCTGTAAATCTTTATGGGAGCAGAAACCCTCATCTTTCTCCCCCAGAACAGCTGGTAGTTTCAAACTGCTGACCATGAAATTAGCAGCCTGATTCGTAACCATTACGCTACCAGAACTCTTTAGTCAGGAACAGAGAGTGTCCTTAGGATCCAGAGTTCTCAGCTCTGCTGAGAACCTTCTAGACTGAGAGGAAGATTGACATTAAGACGTATGGAAAGCTTCAAGGAATTCCAGGCCCACTGAAATATTGAAAAGACCTTCTGGAGCCAACCGACAGAGAAAGCCTTCCAGGAGAGCTGGTACCTAGAATTTAGGCGTCTAGCTTCCTAAACTATGAAAGATAAGTTTCTGTTTGTTAAAACTTTCCACACATATTTCTGTTATAGTTGTTGTTGTTAAGTTTAAGTGCTTTCCAAGGGTTGGCTAGTAGGTTTGAACCACCAGCCTTACAGTTACCAGTCCATTGCTTATAGTCTAGCACCACAACACTAAATAATTAAGGCAGTTTTTGTTAGACAATGTTCCTGCTTCACAAGGCTAAGAGAACAATGACCAGTGGCACAAAGTTCCAAGAATAATACTTACTTGGCCCACAGACTGCAACGTAGAATTTTAGATAAACTTTTTAGCAGTCCTGTTCCATTTCCGCATACAAATCTTTTTACCTAAACTACTAACAATCAATCTGAATGCTGAGCAAATCATCTGAGAAGCTGGACTATGTGAGGAAGAATGTGTCAGCACTGAAGGAAGACTCATTAACAACCTAGTTTTCTAAAAGTAAAAAGACTTTAAAGCAGTTACTGATGACGATCAAAGACTATGCGCTTCAGTATGCATTACACCACAGTATAAAGAAGAACTTTTTAAAGTGTTGAAGAGCAAATATGTCAGCTTGAGGACTAAGGTGCACCTGACCCAAACCATGGTATTTTCAATAACCTCATATGCACGTGAAAGCTGGACACTGAATAAGGAAGATCGTAGAAGAATTGATGCTTTTGAGTTATGGTGTTGGAGGAGAATATTGAAAGTGCCATGGGCGGCCAAAAGAAACAACAGATCCATTTTGGAAGAAGTGCAGCCAGAGTGCTCCTTGGAGGCCAAGATGTCCAAACTTTGTCTCTCATACTTTGGACATATTGTCAGGAGGGACCCGTCGCTGGAGAAGGATAACATGTTTGGTAAGGTGGAGGGTCAGAGAAAAAGAGGAAGACCCCCAATGAGATGGATTGGCCAAGTGGCAGAATTGATGGACTCAAGCATGGCAACAGTAGTGAGGTTGGCCAAGGATCAGGCAGTGTTTTGTTCTGCTGTGCATAAGGTCGCCATGAGTTGATACCGACTCAATGGCACCTAACAACAACAACATAAAGAAAACAAAAACTCTCACAACTGGTCCAATAACCAGCATCAAGATAAACAAAGAAAATACTGAGGTTGTCATGGATTTCATTTGACTTAGATCCCCAATCAATGTCCATAGAAACAGTCAAATAATCAAGTGCCATATTGCACTGGGCAAATCTGCTGCAAAAGACCTTTTTAACATGTTAAAAAGGCAAAGGAAAGGTGTCACCCTGAGGCCTATGGTGTGTTTGACCCAAGACATGATATTTTCAATTGGCTCATATGCTTGTGAAAACAGGACAATGAATAAAGAATACTGAAGAAGATTTTATGCCTTTGAATTATGGTTTTAGTGAAAAATATTGAATATAAGTTGGATTACCAGAAGAATGAATAAATCTATGGAAGAAGTGCAGCCAGAATGCTTCAAAACGTGAAGCTAGTAAAACTTGGTCTCATGTCCTTTGAACACGCTATCAGGAGGGACCAATGCCTAGAGAAGATCATCATGCTTGGTAGAGAAAAAGCAAAAAAAAAAAAAAGAGGAAGACCCTCAACAAAATGGATTGGCACAGTGACCGCAAGAAGGGCTCAAACATAGCAACATTTGCGAGAATGGTGCAGGTCTGGACAGTGTTTCATTCTGTTAGACATAAAGTCATTATGAATCGCAATCGACTGCACCTAACAACAGGAACAACTGATGGCCAAGGCAAAGGGTAGTTGCTATTGTCTTTTCTTTAAAAATCTGAATGGTCTAGGAAAATTTCTCAGACCCCAGAGAACATTACTTTTGACATTTCAAACGACAAAAATATTTGATCCCTGAAACAGCCCTTTACCCTGCCTCTCTCAACCCCAGGCTCAAGCTGACCGTCACAGGCTGTTGCAAGATTGCACAACTGAACTTTGCCAGTTTGATTTCCCCCTCCCCTCCCTCTTCTTTTCCTATCCTACTCCAGTAAAGCCCTTTGGTCTACTTGCCTCCCCTTTTCTGCTACTTTGCTAACTCTGGTATATCTATAAAACCAAAGCTAAAGCAGAAACCCATTAAGGTGATTATACTTTGTTGTTGTTAGGTGCCATCGAGTTGGTACTAACTCATAGTGACCCTACGCACAGGCCCGGTCCTGGGCCAACTTCACTACTGTTGCCACACATGAGCCCATTAATGCTGCCACTTGGCCAATCCATCTCGTTGGGGGTCTTCCTCTTTTTGTCTGATCCTCCACCTTACCAAACAAGATATCCTTCTCCAGCGACTGGTCCCTTCTGACAATATGTCCAAAGTATGAGAGACTAAGTGCTTAACCTTGTCAAAAACCCACTCATCCTCAAGCTTCCAAGAACACTCTTAGCTTGTCCAAGAGCCTCTTTCTCTTCCCTAAACTTCCATGATAAAGCTGAGGTGGTACCGTGAGATACAGGGAAATGGCAAATAAATACTGAGGAGATCATGAAATATTTACATTGTACACCAGTCCATAAACATTTACAATCATGTCCTTTCCATCTTTGCCTTTCCCTATCCCTATAACTTCTGCATCCTGGAGTGATAGTGAGAACAACTTGGATATTAGGGCTGTCCTGTGGTACATACATATTTTACACATACAAACACCCCACAGACATAGAGACTAACCACACACACACTTGAGCATAATAGGATTAAAGGACACTCTCAAATCATCAAGGGGCATACCCTAGTAAGGTAATCACCCCTGAATAAAACCAATCAGACAGGAAAGGAAGAACCCAAGCGCATAATGCATTATGCAATTCTTGGAAAGCCTGTTCTAGTCTGCCGCTCACCCAGGGTCCCTTACTTCTTCCCCCTGGTTTCCATCGCTCTCCATACCCACACGCATAGGAAGGTGGCACCCTTTCTGAATAAAAAAATCGGGTTTTATCTTAGGTAGAAACCCCCAGATTCCCTTATCAGGGGTTCTTCCCAGGCTCCAGGGCAGTTGAGCATTCACTGAAACCACTAAGAAAGAGTCCTCTTAGGCATGTGGCCCTCCCTGGCCTCCTGGTTCTCACCGCGCTGTCGGAGTAGGATTCCCTGCGCCCCCCGCGCCCCTCCCCCCCCCCCCCACAGTCACCCCCTCCCAGCCCCTCCAGGCCACAGGGTCCCGGCGTGCGCGGCTCGTGGCCACCTCCTCCGGCCCAGCCCCGCCTCCCCCTTACCCTCCTCCTTTCTCAGGCTCCTGGCTCACCGCGCGCTGACTCCGGCCAGCGGACCGAGGAGGCGGGCCTCGGAGAAAATATATAAGCGGCCCCAGGACGCCTACGAGGGTGTCAGCTGCGGAGTCTCCATCTGGAAGAGCTGCAGCTGCCGAGGAGGAGGAGAACGCAGAGGCCGGCCCGCCCCACCACACGCTGACGGACCATCGCTGCGCTGCCTCTCCAGCTCACGCCGCCTCCTGCTCTCGCTACACCACTAGGGTGAGTCCCGCTGCGCCCCCAGCAGGGGCTCTTGTCCCAACTCGTGTCCTCTTTCCCTAGAGAGCTGAGGTTGGGGTGCTCGAGGACGCTGGAGTCTAAAAGGACGCTGGCTAAAGGTCCCTTGTCCTGCTCTGCTTTTCCTACAGGTCACTCTAAAGAGCCCAGAGCCGCGATGGAAACGGTCCAGGAACTGATTCCTCTGGCCAAAGAGATGGCCCAGAAGCCCAAGGGGAGGCTGGTGAAGCTGTACGTGCTGGGCAGCGTGCTGGCCTTCTTAGGCGTGGTGCTGGGCCTGATGGAGACAGTGTGCAGCCCCTTAACGACCGCCAGCCGACTGCGGAATGAGGAGGCCACCTTGGCCTCGCTGCAAGCCGCTAAGGAACGACAGGCCCTCCAGACACAGGCCCTGCTGGAGAAAGACAAGCAGCTGGAAGCCATACAATGCAGCAGAGTCCTCTCCAATCGGCAGCACGCCTCCTAAAAACCTGAGACCAGCCTAAGGAGGAGGAGAGAGAGAAAGAAAGAGAGAGAGAGAAACACGCACACACAAGCCAGCTCTGTGCTGTTTGGACGTACTTCTGAGAAGTCACGGGCATAGAACTGATATCATCACCACAGGAGTTCAGGATTGAGTTTTGCTGCTGTGCAGCAGTGCAGAGGAATGACCTATCCCAAACCGATGCATTTTTGAGTTATCTGGGTGCATCTACATGAGGGAAGAAGGAGGGAGAGTGCTTTTTATATTATTATTATTAAAACATTTTATACTCTCTTTCTCAGTACCTGATTCCTCAGGAGGTTGGGAGGGATGGTGGGCATGCAGGTAACTGAGGTTTTATCTGAGCACTGTGGAATGAGCAGCTTCCTGCAGGCCAGACACTTGCTTCACTCCTAGGGACTCGGATAACCCTGTTCAATCCCCATCTACTCTATTCCAAGTCACAGTGACCCTATAGGACAGAGTAGAACTGCTCTGTAGCATTTTCAAGATTGAAAATGGGATCACACACCGTCATCTTTCCCCTGAGGAGTAGCTAGTGGGTTTGAACTGCTCACCTTGCAGTTTAACCCACTATTCCACTAGGGCCCCTCAATAATCCTATTGTTGTTAAATGCCATTGAATCAGTTCCCAGTGCTTATAAAGAAATCTACTCAGGACTGGTTTTCATTTTATGTTAGGAGTTGTAAATCCCACAAAACGTAGCATTTTGAGTGAGAATGGTGGCTGTGACATGGAAGTCAATTCCAACTCATAGCGATCCTATATGGGTTTCCAAGACTGTAAATCTTTACGACAGCAGAAAGTCTCATCTTTCTCCCATGAAGCTGCTGGTAAAATGGAACTACCAACCTTGTGGTTAGCAGCCAAACTCAGACTCCACTATACAATAAATAACTAACCTGGAGTAAGTGGATTTTGTTGTGATTAAGTGCCAGCGAGTTGGTTCCAACTCCTAGCAACGCTGCATAGGGTTTTTGAGGAACAACTGGTGAGTCTGAACCACCGACTTTGTAGTTCAAACAGACCTTAGAATGCTTATCCCACAGGAGAATGCTTAACACACCAGGGTAGAGATACTGATTAGTTCTAGGCAAGAAGAGCCATTTGCCACCTCACCCTGTCCATCAGATGCTCCCAGAAGAGACACCTGTTTCTTCCTAACTGTATGTTAGCAATATATATATATTAATGGGGAATAAAAAGAGAAAGCAAACTCCCAAGAACAAATTCCTTATTGGGCCATGTATCTGGCCTTACCCAGACTTCTGCCTCGTAAGTGCAAATCCTGATAAGAAGCTCTAGGTTAGAATACACTGGTTGTCAAAGACCTGAATCCTCTTTCTCCAAGGAATTAGAACTAACTTAGCATCTCTATAGAGCTCAGTGTGAGCACGGTGACTCTGAGCTAAGCACTCCACTGCAAACCACAAGGTCAGTAGTTCAAGCCCACCAGTTGCTCTAAGGGAGAACAATGAGGTTCTCTACACCTGTAAAGATTTAGAAACCCTACCCTGGGTCACTCTGATTCCGAACAGACTCGACAGCATTTCCCACAACCAACAATAGGGCTCAGAAATAATCCCAGTTGGCAAAGAAGGTTAAGCATTGGACAACTAACTGAAAGGCTGGCAGTTTGCATTCACCAGTTGCTCCACAGAAGAAAGATGAGGCAATCTGCTTCCATAAAGATTTATAGTCTGTCACAATTCTGCCTGTCTGGTGTGGCTCTGTGGAATAAAGCGCTGGACTGCAAGGTCAGTTTGAACCACAAGGTCAGTGGTTCAAACTCACCAACTGCTCCTTGGAAACCCTATACAAGATGGTTATGAGTCAGAACAACTTAACAGCACTTAACAACAACACAACAACATGGTCACTGTGATTCAGAAATGTCTCAATGGCAGTGGATTTGGGTTTGATTTTTAGATGAAGCTCAGTGAATGAAATCTTAAACCATAGCTCTTAAAGAGGCAGCCGGGGCACAGCCTGATGTCACCTTCTTTGAGTTTTTAATATTACCTGCCATTATTAGGAGCAGACATTTCACTTCTGTCATCAACAGCAGTGCATTTGTCCTAAACATGTGAATGGCTCATGTCTTTGGTCATGATGAGACCCTCTCCTCACACACACACACACACACACACACACAACTTCATTTCTGTCAGTTCAAATCATACCCAGTGTTCCTGACCCTGATCAAATACCATCTCTCTTTAAAATCTATCCTTATCACCCCAGACAAAAGCACAGTTTGAAAAGAGTGAGATTAATCAAGGAAAGAGATTTTACTTGGAGTTTTGAAGGAAGAGGAAAACGACAATGACACCACTATTCTTCCAAGTTCCAAAATAAGGAACTTGGCTCTGATTAAGAAATGTCTCACCTTGAACACCAAAACTTTTCCTAGTAATTCATGCCAACGTATTCTTCTAGTTGGTTTTCCAGAATAGCTCTCCTATTATGTTATTATTCCTCCACATGCAGTCACCCACCCTTTTTCCAGCTCCAAACAGCCCAAACCACCTCCTCCGTCCACGGGCACATTCACTCTAGATCAGTCCACTGTCAGATGATTCTTTCTTCAGTAGCTCTCATCCTGCTGCGCCTCCAGTCAAAGAATGCCAGAGATTAAAATCCTGTGCCAGATTTTCAGCACTCTCATGATCAGTTTCCATCTCAGTCCTCTCACCTACTTCTCATACTACCCAGGAATGACCCTGCTCAGTGCCCTCCTGGTCCTTCGGCATCTTTGTTCACATCACTGTTTCCACCTGGAACGTTATCCCATCCACAAGTCCCACATCCTCTGAAGCCATGTACCAAAAGCTCTCAAAAAGAGGCATGATTTCAAATATCCCACCTATTTTTGGACTATATATCAATTTATAAGCTTTTATATTGAGTTCAGGAGTTATGGAGCTCATCCCATGCTTATACCTGTTCAAACCACATAACCATCAAATTCTAGCTCATGAAATCTCTGTCCTCACTGATCGTTTCATTTGTATGAATTCCTATAGGTCATACGGAGTCCTGCTGTGGTACTGGACAGCAAGGTCAGTTTGAACCACAAGGTTGGCTGTTCAAACTCAACAGATGCTACTTGGAAACTCTATACAGGGTTGCTATGAGTCTGAAGTGACTCAATGACACTTAACAATAGCAACATAGGCCGTACAGTGTCTGGTGTGGCACTGTGGGCTAAGCACTGGACTGCTAAGGCCAGGATGGTGGTTCAAACCCACTAGTCTCTCCTCAGAAACCCTATAGAGGGTCACTAGGAGTCAAAACTGACTCTATGGCCCTTAACAACAACAACAGCAGGTGGTCCAGTCTGGACTTGATAATGAACTTTAATGACTGGTTTTTCCAGTTGATTCCTAGGAGCTGCTCATGTCGCTCATTATTTAATCTTCTTGAGGTCATGAGCAATGCCTTCCTCTTCAATATTCTTAGAAATTATCAAGTCCTATATCAATAGGACTGGTATGATGCTGTAAGATAGACACTGAACTGCTAACCACTAAGTCAAGTCCACCAGCCACTTCTCAGAAATCCTATACAGAGTCACTATGAGTTGGAACCAATTCAATGGTACTTCAAAACAACACACAAATAGTAGGTGCATAATAAACATTTTACTGCTTAGTTGTTCTGTTTATGAAATTGGAACTGTGGTTCTCAACAGGATGTGGGGGCAATATTGTTCCTCCAGGAGACATTTGGCAATGTCTGTAGGCACTTCTGGTTGTCACAACTTGGGGTGTGGGGTGGGCAGCATGACTATATCTAAAGGGTAGAGACTAGGCAAGAAGCTAAACATCCTATAGTGCAAATGACAGTGCTCCCCGCCCCTCCCCCCCCCCAACAAAAAAAAAAGAATTTTCCAGCTGAAAATGTCAATACAGCTGTGGCTGAGAAACCCTGGGCTAGAGGAAACAGTTTCATAGCAAAGGTTTTGTGGTGATCTCGAAAGATAAAAATGTCTGATTGTAGTCATATATGGTAAGTCCCTCTTCCAATAAACAATTGGCCTTGATCCTATCCTGTTTGGCGATCTGATTTTATCAGCAACCCAGGAAAAGTGACAGAAGTGTATTTACCATTTCTGTTGGTGACACAAAATTGAGATAGCAGAGTGAGGATTCCAGACGACTCGGCAGGCTGGAGCTGTGCACTACAGCTAATCAAATGAAGCCTGACAAGGAAGAAGATGCCACACAGAACTTAGGTCCCAAAATCAATTGTGTATGGCTGAGGAACTCTTCTTGAAAATTAAACATAACAAATGATGCTCATTTACACCAGTAATCAGGGAGAGGCAAATTAAAACAAGATTAAAATCACATTTGTATTGGTTTTGTAAACTTGGAATCCTAACTTTTGAAAACCACTATAAGGAATTCCAATCTTTGATAGTCTGGAATTTCAGATTAGAAGTAAATGAGTATTCCTTAGAAAGCAGGAGGTTCACTCTGTTGTTGTTGTTGTTGTTGTTGTTGTTGTTGTTGCTAGGTACCCTCAAGTCAATACTGATTCATAATGACCTTATGCACAACAGAATGAAACACTGCCTGGTCCTGTGCCAACCTCACAATTGTGCTACACGTGACTGTACTGCTGCTGCCACTGAGCCAAACCATCTCTTTAGGGGTCTCCCTCATTTTTGCTGATCTTTCACCTTACCTAGCATGATGTCTTTCTCCAGGAACTGGTCCCTCCTGATATTATGTCTGAAGTATGAGAGACAAAGTTTGGCCATGCTGGCTTCTAAGGAGCATTCTGGTGGTACTTTTTCCAACACAGATTTGTGTGTTTTTCTGGCAGTCCATGGAACTTTTAATATTCTCCACCAACACCATAACTCAAATTCATCTATTCTTCTAGGGTCCAACTTTCACATGCATCACACAGCATCTGTACTTTGAAGTCCTGGTATGCCACTGTAGGGTAAAATAATGGACTGCTAGTTCAA